TGTTGTAGCTGAACTTGACTTTAGCTGCTCTCATCTCGTAAATTCCATGTTAGGGGACCTCAGCCCAGGGTAAGTTGTGGACTTTTCCCTGGAAAATCTAACTCTGGGCTCTGAGGAGTTAACTCCCGGAGTGTTTAGAACCTTCCGAGGGATTGCAGAAATGAAATGCTGCCGATCTTTCTCTCCACAAACACGAAAAAAACAAAGAAGGGCGCACACGCATAACAAGGACTGTTCACCGGCCGCCAGTTCCTTTCCCTGTGGCATCATTTTTAGGAATGATGCCTTTTTTTCTTCTTTTTAAATAGAAAGTTAACTTCATATTTTGGATTCTTGGTCATGGTTCTTTGTTGGTGGTTTGATGTCTTCTCTTATATATTTTCCTTTTTCATCTGTGGTCAATATTAACCCCAGATTTATTTTTGGGGAGGCTGGATGTGATCCAAAATAAGCTGGGAAATCCCACATTACCCTTGTCAGAGCGAATTACTGAATAGCAGGATGCTGATGCTAATAGACTAGCTGTGCATTGCACTTACTGGAAGGCAGTACAGAGTCAGCAAAAATTAATAGATGTGATATAGGCGATACATGCTGTATATTATATATGTGTATATGCACAGATGAGTCCCGGGGTTTGGGTGAGCAATTGGGTAGCAGACGGTGTCCTGTACGGCGATGGGGCAGGTTGTGGTGAGGAGAGCCCCAGGCTCAGAGAGGAAACCAAGAGCTCCCCTTCTCGTTGCCCCATTGGACTGAGCCCTCTGCTGTGCCACCTTGAGCGGGGCAGGAAGGGCACCGCGCTGAAGAGGCCATCGCTGCTGGCCCCCCGTGGCCGCCTGTCCCTCTCGCCCTCCGTCACTGGTGTGAACGTCAGTGACCGAGGCGCGGCCCTCGCCCCCTTTCCTCCCGAGGCGCGATCACTTCCTGGGTGCTGTCCTCCAGGCTTCGGCTGTCGATACATCGACACACTCATGACCCCCAAATTGATCGCATCTCCCGGGACCTCTTCCTCGAATTCCAGACGTACACGTCCAGCACCTGCTCCGCGCCTCCCGTGGGAGGTACAGGAGGCGTCCCAGCGCCGCCAGGGCCCAGCGGAGCTCTGGCCGGTGCCCTGCCTGCCACAGGCCTGCTTCTCCGCCCTCGGCCCGTTTCCGCCGGTCTCCGGCCATCCTGAGAGTTGCCTAGGCCAGCGCCTTGGGGTTGCGCTGGGCTCCTCTCTTTTCCACACCCTACATCTGACCGGTCCTGCTGACTGCTAAAAGCCAGGTCCCGAATCCAACCAATTGTCACCTGCCCTGCCGGCAGCCCTCATCTCTTGCCCGGGTCACTGCAGGCCGCCTAACGGGTCTCCCCACCTCTGCCCTCACCCTTCCGCAGCCAGAGCGGTCCTGGTAGAATATGAATCACTCCCGTCGCCTCTCTGCTAAAGCCGCGCAGGGGCTTCGTCTCACTCGGACCGAAAGCCAACGTCTCCCCGGTCGCCCCAGGTCCCACATCTGCCGGCTCCGATTACTCTTCTGATCCCATCTCCCGCCCCCCAGTCCGCCCGTCCTTCAGCACGTTCCTCTTCTCGACCCTTCTCATTTGATGTTGTTTTCTGCCTGGAACAGTCTTTTCCCAGATATCTCCATGGCTTCTGCCTTCACTTCCTCTGGTCTTTTTCAGATGTTACTTTCTTAGTGGGGCTTTCCCTGGCTTCTTACCTAAAATTCAGCACCCGCCCCCACCCTGGTATTTCCTGACCCCCTTCTTTCTTCCTTTTATCCATGGCACAGGTCCATCTAACATTTCACTTACTTATTTCTTGTATGTCTCCTGCACCACACTGTGAGCTCCACGGGAGCAGGGATTTTTTTTGTCTGTTGATTTCCTGCTGAACCCCCAGTGCCTGGAACTGTGTCTCACTCCTAGGGGGCACTTGGCACTGCGTGTGGAATAAATGAGTTCCGGTCGGGAGTTGTCTCTCTCCCCCCACTACTTCTTTCTGACTTTTTATGGGACTGTTGTCTCAGTGTCCGTGTGTCCTTTATTCACGGAGCTAGTTGGGCAGAGCAGCCCAGACCGGTGCACAGCCAGGTACAACTCGAGCTTGCCGCTTGGCTCTCTCATTCACAAGCTGTGTGACCTGGGACAAGTCCCTTAGCCTCTCTGCGTGTTCACGTCTTTGCTTATAAACTGTAGAAAGCCTTCCCGCGCTCACTCAGGATGGCTGGAAGGGTGTAGTGTAATGCTAGATGAAGGACCGTCGAGAATAAGACGTGTTTTTCATTTTCCGTGGAGTCTGGCCCTGGGCGAATGCCGGAGTTTACATGTACGACTGTCTCATCTCATTCTCACATCACAGCAATGAGATATGGAGCCACACTGCCGAATCCACGTTAAAGAAGAGAAAACAGGTGCACCAAGAAGTTACGTGAGTTACCCACGAGCTAGGCAACAACAGAGCCAGGCTTGTTGGGACCCAAGCATATTTGTTCAGCGGCCTGAGATTCCCCCCAGTATGCTGTATTGGCCCAAAATACGTGTTCTAATGACTGGAGTCATGAAAAAGATTTTACCAGAGGTGTGACTTTGGTCTCCAGGCTATTTTTTTCTTGACCGCGAATGAATGTGGCATTTCCCTGGCGTTATTTTCCCCTCCTCAGCTCAAACAGGCAGAAGGCCCTGTCTTTCGAAAGAAAAAGGTATGGTCAGGCATGCCCCTGTCTTCCCTCTCCTCCACCGAGGAATGAAACTGTCCCACGTCCCCTGGGGTTCTTGTTGCACAGCCTAACCAAGTCCAGATGGTTTTCGCGCCCAGACATCGTGGGTCGCCAAGTATGTGTAGTTATCGACGGGGACAAGTTCTAGACTAAAATCGCAAATACCCGCTTCCCGAGGAACTCACTGCTGCTCCTCTCCCTGGTTTGTGTTATGTCCTTTCTGTGCTAACGAATTTGTTAATGTGGCTTAAGGACTGTTTACCGAAAAATAGCTGCACACAGATCAGTCTCCGTGGGAGACTTAGCCAAAACGTCGAGGCCATTGGTACCTCGTGCAAAACCAGCTCATAAATGAGAAGTGCTTTTCAAACACTGGGACAGGAGCTTACGCCTGGTTCTGAAGAAACAGCGTTTTGTATATTTAGGGAAGTAAATCGTTCTTGAAGGAGTGGATTTAACTACTGGAACGGACTTTCTCCCCAAGGCCCGGCCCGCAGGGACGTGCACAGAACCACGGCGTAATGAAAAGCACAATAGTGGTGATTTGATTGAACTCCACGCCGAAGAGCCGTATCCCAAAGAAGTCCCCAAAAGGAGAGCTCCGAACGGCCTGTAGATTCCAGCCAGTGTTTCACGGCTCTGTAAGCCCACGTATTATGCATTACCTCATGTTTCTGAATTCTTGCCTCGGGCAAATTGCCAGCTTAGCAACTAAATGACAGTTTGAAAATTCTAATAAAAACCAGCCTCTCTGACTTTGCTTTTATTCCTTCAGGAAAAAAAAAAAAAAAAAAAGAGCACAGGAGGGGGTGAAAGTTATTGGAAGGTTCGATTTAGAAATCGTGTTGGTGCTGCTTTTGGAGCCGCAGCTGAATCTCGCTCTTGCGTAATCTGATGTTTGCCTGACGCCCGTGCAGAGGGCCCTCTGCCGGAAGCTCCTTCCTGCGACCGTCCCGTCGGTCCCGTCCCGTCGGTCCTGCCCTAGAGGGGGCTGTGTTCCCCCCGCCCCTCGGAGAAGCAGGCCCGGGGGCCGGAGTGGGCCCGGGGCTGCCTGAGTGCGGAGCTCCGCAGACAGATCAGTCCCCTCGGCAGTCAGTAAGGATTGCTTGTCGTTTCCTGAACTGTGGGTGTTATACAAGAAGACTGAGCACACGCTGCCCTCCAGGAATCTGTCTGTAGAGGGAGCAGCGGACGGGGGGGTATACGGGCAACTCAGTCTGAGAGACCCCAAGGGTGGGAGGCGGGGGAAGCAGGGGAAGTTGGTCACGAGGTGCACCTTCAGTTATAAGATGAATAAATTCTGGGAATGTAATGTACAGCGCGGTGACTATAGTTAACAATACTCTTGTATGTTTGAAAGTTGCTAAGAGTAGATCTTAAACGTTTCTATCACAAGAAAAAAGAAATTCGTACCTGTGTGGTGATGGATATTAACTAAACCTATGGTGATGATCATTTCACAGTATATACATATAGATTGGGTCATCATGTTTTACACCTGAAACTGATACAATTATGTCTCAATAAAAACCGGGGTGGGAGAAGGGATCCCAAGACCAAGTCTTAACTACCAGGTAGATTTTTTTATGTTTTTTTTTCTTCCATTTTCATTTTTCAATTACAGATTACTTTCAATATTATTTTGTATTGGTTTCAGTTGTACAGGATAATGGTCAGACAATTATATACGTTACAAAGCGTCTCCCCTGATGTTTCCACCACCTGCCTGGCGCCATACATAGTTACCGCAATATTGTCGACTGTATCTCCTGTGCTGTACTTTTCATCCGTGTCTCTATCTTGTAACCACTGATCTGTACTTCTCAGTCCCTTCACCTTTTTCACCCAGTCCCCCAACCCCCTCCCCTCTGGCAACCACCAGTCTGCTCTCTGGTTCTATGAGTCTCTCAGTTTTGTTTATTTTGTTCTATCCGCATATAAATGAAATCGTAGGGTTTTTGTCTTTCTCTGACTGACTGACTTCACTCAGCGTGACACTCACCCCCTCTCATCCTCTCTCCTCTCTCTCTGTCTCTCACACAGCCCTTGTTTTCAGGTTGGCTCTGTGTCAAGGAAATAGCAGTTTCTGGCCCGTGATATTTATGCTCCGCATCGTCTGCCTGCTTGTCTTTCTGTCGTTTTGTTTGGCTGGATGCAGTGTTGGAAAACCTAGACAATGTTATTAGACTAAAATAGAGCTTATTTCTGTTTCCCAAAGGAACTATCACAGATTATAAGATGGGCCTCTGAAGGCCAAGCCTAAAAGTTATTCATCTTCTTTTCTACCTACAGCTGACCTCTTGCTGCCAGGATGGGCAAACAGAACAGCAAGCTGCGCCCGGAGGTCATGCAGGACCTGCTGGAGAGCACGGACTTCACGGAGCACGAGATCCAGGAGTGGTACAAGGGCTTCCTGAGGGACTGCCCCAGTGGGCACCTGTCGATGGAGGAGTTCAAGAGAATTTACGGGAACTTCTTCCCTTACGGAGACGCGTCCAAGTTCGCAGAGCACGTCTTCCGCACCTTCGATGCCAATGGAGATGGGACAATAGACTTTAGGGAGTTCATCATCGCCCTGAGTGTGACATCGAGGGGCAAGCTGGAGCAGAAGCTGAAGTGGGCCTTCAGCATGTACGACCTGGACGGAAACGGCTACATCAGCAAGGCGGAAATGCTGGAGATCGTGCAGGTACGTGGCCCCGAGAGGGGAGCGTGGGTCACAGGGGAGCACTGGACGGTGCACGGTGGGGGTCAGTGCGAGGGTTACACGCCCGCGGCCCACCCACCTGGGCGCCGACTCGGCCTCCCAGTGCTTTTCAGCGTGTCGAGGCCACCTTACTCAGCAGGGAGGCTGCGCATACAAATGCGGATTGGTTGGCGTCTCTAGAAATCTCAGGAGGTCGGACCACTCTGGGCCCCCGTTCTTGCCTGTCGTAAGTCACCTGGGGCTTTGCGGTGGCTGCTGCCTTACAGATGGGCACGCAGCCTTCAGTTGGTCACGCTCGCCATGGCACCTCTGTCCTTTCTCGTTGCGATGACCTGCCTATGAGGCTGTATCTCCTGCAGTGGTCATTGAATGATCAATCTGTGGCCTGCGTTCGAATTTGGCCTCTTTCAGTCACCACCTCTGTGACTTTGGCCTCCTTCACCTAAGTGAGCTTCAGGGTCTCATCTGTAAGAGGGACCTGCCAGCAGTGCCCGCCCATGCTGTGGGGTTATTTTAAGATTCGATCTGACTCTCCGTGTTCAATGCTTAGCACAGTACCAGCCATTAGAAAAGCTCAGCAGCATCACCACCGTCCATTCACTGGACTCTGGAGGAAAGGGAGGAACCTCTGGTCTAGGTTCTGCCTCGTCAGAGATACAGACGTAGAGTGGAGGCCTCCGTCGTGTCAGTGGGAGGCAGGAGGCACTCCGTTTTATTTCCCCAGGTCATTCACCCAGAGTAAATTTCCTGAACAGGGCAGGAGAAGGGACCCTGGTGTTGGCCACATTTTCTTGTGGCACCCAGAGGGGAGGTGGAAAAGGCACATAGAAGCTATGGGCGTGGCAGTGACAGGTTGGTCAGCAGTGAGTGGGGCCCAGAGACAAACCTAGGGAGACCGGAGCGTGGAGAGGACCAGGAGAGCCTCAGCTGCAGGCGTCAGAAGGACCTGGTGGGCGGGTGGCACCAGGGAGGCTGGCAGCTGCTCACCATCTTATCTTGGCAGACGAGTGGGCACAATAGGGAAGCATCTGGCTGCAGACAGCAGGTCCAAGAGAGTGGGCATTTGGCTTCCCAGAGGCCAACACTCATGCCAGGACATTTGGGTTCAGAGGTAGCAATGCAGGCCCTGGGACGGTGGGGGCGGCGGGGGAGGGGAGAAAGGCTCTGGGAGGGCAGGGGGTGG